GGGGGGGGAAGGCATTGAGTGTCGGACCGGCGGAAGTGTGTCCGTGGGGGGAAGGTGTTGAGTGTCGGACCGGCATGGAGGTCGCTCCAGGGAGGAGACCCGGTAAAAATGATGATAAAGGTAAAGGAAGAATTGGAGGAGGCGAGGTCCGCGGCGTGGGTAGGGAGGATTTCTGAACAAAATAAAATACAAAGAATTGTGGAATGCTGGAAATCTGAAAAAAAAACCAAATTGCTGGAGAATCTGAGATAACAAGGTGTAGAGCTGGATGAACACAGCAGGCCAAGCAGCATCAGAGGAGCAGGAAAGCTGACGTTTCGGGCCTAGACCCTTCTTCAGAAACTGAGCTGGAGAAGCTCAGCAGGTTTCTGGCAGCGTCTGTGGTGAGAGAAACAGAGTTAGTGTTTCGGGTCCAGTGACTCTTCTTCAGAACTTCAGCAATTTCTGTTTTTGGTGGGGATTTCTGAAGCCGGCCTGGCTTTGGGGGAGACTCCATTGTGGGTTAGGTTGGGGCGGGGGAATGCATAGACCCGGTGACTGAAGATTTTCTGAAATCTTTGTTGCGGTTTACTTTATCCTCATTCGGAAGTTGATTCCTGAAATGTTCCTGAACAGAGTCACTCATTTTAACGAGCTTCTCCATCACTCCGTGACCTAAACTGCTGCCAAACCATGTTTCCCCTTAAAAATTACCCTCATTTGTCACTACTACAGACTTGGGACTTACTGTCCAGATCCTAAATTTTTTTATCTTGTCGTGCTGGCATTGATACTTTTCACAATCACCTTAAATAAGTGCGCTTTAGTTCTCAATCCTTTTACTAAAGGGGATAATTTCTTCCATTTACCCTGCCAGATTGCTCTTGAATTTGAACACCTTGGTGAAATTTCTTCTCAACTTAACAGCTTAAGCATTTCCAGTCTTTAATCATTATTCTTCATGAGGAGTAGGTACCATTGGTAAGGCCAACATTTGTTGCACCTCCTTTGAATTGCTTCAGGTAGCATATGAATCAGAACCAGGAGTAGGCCATTCAGCTATTCAAACCTGTTCTGCCATTTAATAAGATCGTAGCTGTTCTGATTGAAACCTCATATTCACATTCACAGCTACACCTGATAGCCTTTCAATTCCTTGCAGAACAACAAACTCTCTACCTCTGTCTTAATAATAGTCAAGGAATCTGCTTCACTGCCTTTTCAGGAAGAGAGTTCTGAAGAGACATGACCTCTGAGAGGCCAGTTAAGAATCAACCACATTACTCTAAGGCACATGTAGGCCTGATCGGGTAAGGACATTAGTGAACCAGATGCGTTTTTACAACAATTGATTAATTCTATGGTCACCATTACTGAGAGCAGCTTATAATTCCAAATATAACTGCCTGAATTTAAATTCCACCAGGTGCCACTTTGGGATTTGGGCCCATGTCACCAGCACATTGGCCTAGGTCTCTGGATCACTAACCCAGCGATATTACCATGACATCACCATCTCCCCCTATTCTGCACACCCAGCTGAATTTCATCATCCATGGAATCATCCTCATAAATTTTCTCCAAACTCTTCACTTCTATCCCAGAACGTGATGCTGAGGATTGACCATTATACTCCACTTAAAAGGGAACCAGTGTTTTATACTGGTTTACCAAAAGTCATGCCCGTGTCAAGACTTCCCATGATAGTCTCCTATGAAGAACCTGCCATCAAAGCCACCTTGCTTCTATACTCTGTCCCTCTATACGATTGGCCAAATGGCTTCCTTCTGATCCAAAACTATTATGTGACCATTTGTACAGTGCGTGTTAATTTTGCCCAGGATTATCAGTTCTAAACTCGTTCCCATCACCCACTTTAAACTGACTGGTCTGTTGTCACTAGATTTATCTTTACATTCTTTTTGAACAAGGGTGGAACAGTTGCAATTATCCAGTATACCTCTGAGATACTCCAGTATTTAATGAGGTTGAGATTATGGCCAATATCGCCTCAGTTTTCGAATGCATCCTCGTGACTTACCACCTTTTCATCCTTTCTTACTGCATCTCTTTATCAACATCTGTACCCATCCAGGATCCTGCTTAACTCCTCTTTCACTATGACTTTAGTAACAGCATCTTCCTTGATAAAGACTGATCCAAAGTACTCTCAGCCTTCGTGCTTTAATCCTTAATTAGGTTTTACTCTTCCCACCCTTTTACTGCTTGTATACTTATCAGGAACTTCTGGATTCTTTTCTTTTTCGTTAATTGCTAGTCTTTACTTATTCAATCTCTTTGCTGCACTTCTTTTCTCACTTTACATCTAAACTTTCTAAAATTATCCTGATTTTCACTTCTATTATCAACCTGATAGTTGTTATGTCATTTTCCGATTTGTCAATCTTTTGTAAATTGGGGCCTCTTTTGTAAATTGGTTGGCCCTTGTGGTAATATACCACTGGACTGTAATTTTTTCCTCTTTAAGGACAACCCATTGCTACATTGAAGTTTTGCATACAAATCATTAATCCCAGTTTGAATGGATTATATCAGTTCTTGACCCACTGAAACTGTCCCTCGTCCAATTTGATGTTTATATTTTTAGTTGCTCCAGTTTGAACATTTTAATACTATGATCGTGGTTCTCTAAAAATTCCCTAACTGACATTTGCCCCGACTTATTTCCTGAAGAGTACAGTTGAAGAATCATACGGTACAGAAGAAACTCTTTAGCCCATTGAGTGCTCCCAAACACACTTCTGAAATTCTCCTCCCACTCTGCCTTTTGCAATATGACTATCCTCATCTATATTAGGATCAATAATATACCCTATTACAGGGCTTCTCAAAGGGGGTTTGGGACCCTGAACAAAATCATGAGTCCAGAGGCAGCAATGACCTACACCACTGATATACATTCTCATTGGTCTTCTCCTCCACCCTCCTTGCCCACCCCTACAGCCCACTGAGTGAGATGATCATTTTTAAGCCTTGAAATGGGATCACTGTTGGAATTGGCATTGGAAGCAGTGCTTCAGTACAGTGACTTCATTGTTCATGCACTTCTCTTGCAAGTAACGTAATTCTCCAAAGACTGTAATTTGCAGCATATCTCCTCCATTCTGCTCGTCAGTGGTCTGCACCAGACACCCACTAACGTCATGGCACCTCTACTGTCTCTTCGAGAGACAGCACTTGAGAGAGGGAGTGTGAGAGAAAAACACTCTGAAAGAACATTCCAGCCCTTGCCACTGCTATTGTTACCACCTCCTCTTGGATAAATGCTGCTGCAGTTGATACCATTATGACAGCCCATGTGTACATAGCACTTTTAATGCACAATGTCCCGACATGCTCTCTCTCTCTTTCTCTCGCATGTGCTGTCTCTGAGCCCAAGTGGGAGTCATGTCCTAGAGGGGAAAGGACAGTGAGAACAATATACTGCAATAGTCAATCCTTCTATTTCTTTCTCTTCATATTTAAGTTATCTTAATAAATATTGCCAAGAGTTTAGAGAAGTTGGGTGGGTGCCTTGTAAAATTCCTTTCTGAAATGAATGAGCTCTTTGATCTTGTCTCCTAAAGGTGAAGTACTACCACTCACTTTGTGTCCTTTCTGATGCAAACTTGCAAAATATTTCTTCATCTGTCTGAAGAGAGTATTGCAAGATTATTAATCCAGAAGGCCGGATAATGTTCTGGGGACTTGGGTTCAAATCCCATTATGGCAGGTGGTGAATTGGAATTCAATAAATTTCTGGAATTAAGAATTTAATGATGACAGTGAAACTGTTGTTGTTTGTCAGAAAAACCCATCTGATTTACTAATGTCCTTTAGGACAATTACAGCTTGGCAATAAATGCTGGCCTAGCCAGCAATGTCCAGTGTCTGTGAATGAATAAACTTTTAAAAATGAAGAATAAATAAATGCACTACACCCTACTATAACAGTGTGGAGATTTGATTTTGTGCATGAAATGTTAATAATTATAACTCAAGTTTTGAACATTTAAAACCTTGCTGCATTCAAACAAATTCAAAAGGGCTTTTAATTTACAAGGCTGTTGAGCGGAATGTTACTGTATTGACTCTGTGTGAATGGTGAATGTTGTGTAATTTGTAGTTGCTAACCAGTGGGTTTTATTCCATAGTGGATGAAACGGAGCTGCTGACAGTACCGGAAGGATGGAAGGAGGAACCGTTCACCAAAATCGACAATGTTCATGGCCTTTTGGAGGAGAGCAGTTTTGCTACTCTCTTCCCTAAATACAGGGAGGCCTATCTGAAAGAATGTTGGCCCTTGGTGCAAAACGCTCTGAAAGAACATGTAAGCCCCTTCCAGTATTCTTGTTACCTCCTACACCTGTATAAATGCTGCTACAGCTGTTATCATTATGACAGCTAATGTGTAAGTAGCACTTTTAATGTGCCATGTCCCAGAGGTAATTATCAGACAAATTTCACAGTGTGTCACAGATGGAGATATTAAGTCAAGTGACTGAAATCTTGCTCAAAGGCTTCGTTTTTAAGGAGAGTCCTTAAGAGAGGAGAGGTTTAGAGAAGGAATTCCAGGCCTTGAGAATACAGGCAGTGGTGATGTGCTGAAGATTGGGGATTTGTAGGAATGTGAAGATCTGAAGGGATTGTAAGGCCACAAGAGTTTATAAAGATATTTATGGAAATGCACCATCTTCTGGATAGGGATCTCATAATAGCTGGAAATGAAACAAAATGGCAATTACTGGTAATCTGTTCAACTATTCATCTCGGGTGATTTAGTCTTTTGTAAGGCGTAAGACTGACATTAAACCCCAAACCTTGTGCCTTACGACTCGGAAAGATAAGGGCAACAAGTGCTTGCGAACACTACATCCTCACACCATCCTGACTTGGAGCTACATTGTTATTTCTTCACTATGGCTGGCTCAGAATTCTGGAAGCCCCTCCTAAATAGCTTATTTAGTGCTTGAGTTAAAGGGGTTGTAGGAGGTGGTTCACCACCACCTCCTCAACAGCAATTGGGGATGGACAATAAGTGCTGACCCAGCCAGCAACATCCAGATCTGAAGAACATATTTTCAAAATACAAGACTCAAAATATGGATGCTGATATATAGGGGAAAAGTACTTTTGGATATTCCCAATTAGAGAGAGACTTTGGCAAAGCTTTTTGTGTTGTATTCATCAGGGCAAACGTGAATAATAAATTTTAAACAATCATAATTCATAATACAAGAGAAAAGTGGAAGGATTGGTTGGCAAGTTGACCATGAATGGCTAAGGCATTGCCATTCTCTTTCTCTTTGACAACACTTGCTAATTAGTGCCCTTGCCAACCGAGCATTCCCCTTTACATCTGCAGTATAAATTGTTGTGACCCATTTGTCATTCTTGTGTTTGTCCTGGCTAATATAAGACAAAAAGCTTTGGCATGTCTCTTTTTTTCCAGCAACATTCAAGTTCTGTGCTGTTCAATTGAATACATCTGGCCTTAAGTCCTACCATTGCACTAAGTGTCTCAGAATCAAGGTCACAAGGGCTTTTTCTTGCATTTGAGCAAACTTCAGATTTAAACAGATAGGACAGGGTGCAAGTCAGTTAAGCTTGGAATGCTGAAACTGGTTAAACTGAGTGTTTTGTTTTTTAAAACAAATTACTTATGATGGTTCTAAAGTATGAAAATGTCACAAGGCTGTACACACGAGGATGGTGGGATTGGTCTCAGTTGATGCATTTTGTGCAGCAATATGCTTGGATCTAACTCAGTTTTAATCTTGACTTTAAGCCCTGTAACATTTTTAATCGAGTTTGAGATTTTTAGTATCCATAGTTTACTAGTTAAGAGCCTGCAAATGTTGAACATCTGAAACAGACTTGAAAATTCTTGACACTCAGCAAGTCAAATATGTGTGGAGAGAGAAACAGAGTTAATGTTTTTCATGCACTCCCTGCCCATTGTGCCTGACCTGCTGAGCTTCACAGCATTCTTTGGATTCGGATAATGCTAAACCCATAGTAAAATGTGTATTCTTATGTGCAAAGTATGTGTATTTGCTTGAATGCATAGTGGTTATAATCTCTCATTTATTTAGTATATTACAGCTACATTAGATTTGATTGAAGGCAGTATGACTGTTTCCACCACTAAGAAGACGTTCGATCCATATATCATCATTAAAGCCAGGGATTTGATCAAACTTTTAGCGAGAAGTGTTCCTTTTGAGCAAGTGAGTAGCACAACTATTAAAGAGTACCTTTAATTGAATCATTGATGACATATCAGGTTTTTTTAATTGTGAAGGCAGAACACACAAAATAAAGGTGACATTTAAAATGAACATTCCCAGAGAGGAGAGCACACCAAAATTTCGGATGCCTTTCCCCGTGTCTTTCTGTCATTTATTTTAGTTGCTGGAAGTTTCTGTGAACAAGCATCTGAATACCTGGCCGGATCTTGTAACTTGCATGCAAGCTTGTAAAATGAACCACGTGTGTCCTGCTTAAAGTTGATGGAGAGGGAGGTTCTGACCTGGATATTTGGTGTGTTGAGCTGTAACTCTTGTTGCTTTCTATTCTAGGCTGTCCGTATTTTTCAGGATGATGTGGCATGTGACATCATTAAAATTGGATCGTTGGTTAGAAACCGAGAACGATTTGTGAAAAGAAGGCTAAGACTTATTGGGCCAAAAGGATCAACACTTAAGGTATAAATATATTCACCTGTTGTTGAGCAGTGGATCTTTCTTCCAGGATTTCTTGCACAGCTCAGAAATAAGAAGATCTCCTGGCCTGAAGATGGTAATTAAATTTTAAGTGAATGTGGTAAGTTCCTTGGCCACAAAAAACTGAATAATCTGTTCACAAATGACAAGAAATTATCAGTGTAACAATTTAAAACTAATGTTACAGGGAGCAACATTTTATACTGTGGGGAAATAAAAAGAGTGCTATAAAATGTTGGTCTCTTTTGCATTAGCAAATGCCCTGATGGTGTAGAGCTTCAAAGAAGTGTGTCTTTTCTCAGCAGCACTCAAAGTCTGTGCTACCAAACTAGTGTTTGCGTGGTAAAGATTATCTGACTAGGTATGTGGGAATAAGGAGAAGTCCATGCCTAACACGTCACCAACTATAAAGAAAAAGCAGCTGCATAGTCAGATGCTGGTTAATCATTTCAATTGAACATCCTGTAGATCAATTCAGGCAGCAGAGCAGACTTAACATGCTGAAATGGCTTGGGACAGTTTGTTTATATCATGTTTGTGTTAAAGAATGTTGGTGGTCAGTGTTTGGGCTTCTGAATCCTGGGTGTATTTTTCTTCCACTGACTTAAGTTCTGTTTAAGAAGAGGAAAGCTGCTGTGCTATCAGTGGTGCAAGGTGGGAGTGGAGTAAGAAAGGTGGACATAGAAGATGAAACATTTTATCATGATAATGAAGGGCAGGACAGTCATGAGCAGATATATTCCTCCTGTTCCTTAGATATGTAAATTTGTTGTATGATTGCAGAAATCCTCTTGCAAATTTATTTTACAAATTCTGAAACAACACACTTTTCTGAAGAATGAAATGCTGTAAAAATGGTTTTCATTTGAGTAAGGAACCATGTCAGAGTTGCTAGCATTACAAAAAAGTGATTAAAACAACTGGTTGTGTAGCTCTGGAGGATTGTTACACTGATCTTGGTGTTTCACTTCATGTCTGTGGGAGTGAACTTTTGGAATATATTGATGACTTTCCCTTGGTACTGCATACTGCTTGTTTGGGGCTTGAAGAACATTAATGATGTTTAGCTGTTTAACTTGGTTACTGTTATGGTCCCCTCTGGAAATTCAGATAATTGTAACTGATTCTAACTTCTTCCAGAAAATTAGAAATCAACAAATTGTTGCAGATTAAATTTCATGATTAAACACTTCTGCATTCTGCAAAGCTCCCTGATAGGACTGAGTCACCTCAGCCTAATAGTTAAATTCTTTGAATCTTGCTAAAAGTGAGACATATTGCCAAAGCATTATCTTGCATTCCTCAGGCTGCCCAGTCTCTTGTAAAATTCAAAAGAAACGTATATGATTTCCTCATTTTCCTTTTCCTGGAGAAAACAGGCCCCTCCATATATTGGAATGTTACTTTAGGGAGGCATGACTGAGCCACATTGCGAGCTATACTCATTATCTTAAGTCAGTTGTTAGTGTACCTATTGGTGAACTTGGGCTATTTTGGTACAGTTCACTGTTCTTTCTCCATAGCAACTTAACTAATCATTCTTGACACACCAACCAGTCAGCACCCTTTACTCCTGTAGAACAAATTGTTTGAAATTTGGCATTCTTTCATTTGTCATAGAGCCATACAGCATGAAAACAGACCCTTCGGTCCAACTCATCCATACCGACCAAGCTTCCCAATCTAAACTAGGCTTACTTGCCTGTGTTTGGCTGGTATCGCTCTAAACCTTTCCTATTCACGTACCTGTCCAAACATCTTTTAAATGTTCTAACTGTATCTGCATCTACCATTTCCTCTGACAGTTCATCCCACATACACTCATCGGGATTGGGATGGTTTGTAAGACAAAAAGCTTCAGTAATATTTTCACCAAGATTCAAGTTCCATGCTACCAACAGCCTATTAGTTAAAACATTATTTAATGATAGCCTGATGTTGGGGATACCAGGAAGCCAAAACAATTAGATTTCATTGCATTAAAACTTCAAATAGCAACCCCCATAGAAACAGAAGGCATAGCTTTACATGATACGCTTGCAAAATAATGTCTTCTGAGTTACCAGGAGCAGAGTGGGTGATGGGGGTGCTTTGTTTGACAATTTTCTGTTATTAATGGATTCCTTCTGCTGTGTCTCCTACTCATAGGCTTTAGAGCTGTTGACCAATTGCTATATCATGGTACAAGGGAATACTGTGTCTGCCTTAGGACCATACTCGGGACTGAAAGAGGTGAGTAAATTGGACTGAGGGTGTGCTCTGCAATCAGACTTGGTGCTTTTCCTCACAATGCTGTTTTTAATGCTGTTTCATTAGTTGTTCATTAATCTACTTTCCTTAACCTTTATTTTGAGCTTTTATTCTTCCGTGCAATCCTATCTGGCTTTTTTGTAAATTACGTAAACCGTTTCAAAATGGCAGTGTTCATTCAGAAACGAACTAATGCTTGATAAGTACTTAAACTGCTAAAGGCTACATGGTTGTCTCTTAATACTTTGTGAATTGACTTGGCAAAATACTCCATTTTTAAGCAATCACTGTAAAGCTCCATTACTACATTGTTCAATGAAAAAAAATGCCCATCATCTTTGGGCCACCAGGAAATGAACAATAAGTGTACCCCTGCCAGTGTGAGAACAGGTAAAAATAATTCAGCCTTTTACTGCTTATAGTTAAATACTAATGCCCTAATATTTTCACATTTCCAGGTGAGAAAAGTAGTCACCGATACCATGAAGAACATACACCCAATCTACAATATCAAGGTATTGATTATATGAAAAGAAAAAAGTGAAATTTCACATGGTGTGTTCAGGATTGTTACATTAAATCTACGCTGTCTGTCTGCCAGTAATCCAGTTGGACCAAATCCTCCTCTTTATTCCTGTAACCTGCAGATTTTAGTCAAGTGCTTATCCAGTTTCACATTAAAATAATTCATCCTCTTCCACCACCCTCAGAGGCTTAGATTTTCAGGTCATGACCACTTGACCTGCACCATTGGTAATGGGAACAGTTTTATCCAAAGCTGTCATTATCTTGCAAATCCCTATCAGCAGCTTGACATCTGTAATGAGAAATCCTGTGTGCTTTCAGTGCTACCTGGGGGAGGAACAATGTACTGGCATCCTCTGAGAACTGGCTAACAGACAGAAAATGGACAGTGTATTAACAAATGGATCATTCTTGGATTGTCTGTGACCAGTGGAGCACTGAGAGACAGGATTTATGATCACTTGGAAAGGCACAGTTTGATTCGTGATAGTCAGCATGGATTTGTGAGGGGTAGATCATGCCTCACAAACCTTATTGAATTCTTTGAAGAGGTGACCAAACACGTGGATGAAGGTAGAGTAGTGGATGTGGTATACATGGATTTAGGTAAGGCATTTGATAAGGTTCCCCATGGTAGGCTCATGCAGAAGGTAAGGAGGCATGGGATAGGGGGAAATGTGGCAGATTGGATTCAGAATTGGCTGACCCTTAGAACACAAAGGGTGGTAGTGGACGGAAAATATTCAACATGGTGCTCGTTACGAGTGGTGTACCACAAGGATCTGTCCTGGGTCCTCTTCTATTTGTGATTTTTGTAAATGATTTGGATGAAGGAGTGGAAGGGTGGATTAGCAAGTTTGCGGACGATACAAAGGTGGGTCATGTTGTGGACAGTGCAGAGGGCTGTTCTAGGTTATAAAGGGACATTGATAGAATGCAGAGCTGGGCTGAGAAATGGCAGATGGAGTTTAACCCTGAAAAGTGTGAGGTGATTCATTTTGGAAGGACAAACTTGAAAGCAGAATGCAGGGTTAACGGAAAGATTCTTGGCAGTGTGGAGGAGCAGAGGGATCTTGGGGTTCATGTTCGCAGTTCCCTGAAAGCTGCCACCCAGGTGGATAGAGTTGTTAAGAAGGCGTATGGTGTGTTAGCTTTCATTAATAGAGGGATCGAGTTCAAGAGCCGTGAAGTTATGCTCCAGCTATACAAAACCTGATTCGGCCACATCTGGAGTATTGTGTCCAGTTTTGGTCACCTCATTACAGGAAAGATGTGGAAGCGTTGGAAAAAGTGCAGAGGAGATTTACCAGGATGTTGCCTGGAATGGAGGGAAGGTCTAATGAGGAAAGGTTGAGAGAGCTAGGGCTTTTCTCTTTAGAACGACGAAGGATGAGCGGTGACTTGATAGAGGTGTACAAAATGATCAGAGGTATAGTAGAGTAGACAGCCAGAGACTTTTTCTTAGGGTGGAGGTAGCTTTTACGAGGGGATGTAGTTTTAAAGTGAAAGGAGGTAGATACGGGGAGACGTCACAGGTAGGTTCTTTACTCAGGGTGGTAGGGGCGTGGAATGCATTGCCGGAGAGGGTAGTGGAGTCGGCCTCATTAGGGGCATTTAAGCGGCTGTTAGATAGGGATATGGATGATAGTATAAGGTAGCAGTGGAGGTTAGATAGACCTTAGGTTAAGGGTAAAAGTTCGGCACAACATCGTGGGGCGAAGGGCCTGTACTGTGCTGTGCTGTGCTGTTCTATGTTCAATGTGAAAATCAGTGCCTGGGCTCCATCTGTTCATTGATATCAGCGATTGGGATGTGGTGATTGAGTGCAGTATTTACAAGCTTTCAGATGTCACAAAACTAGGTGAAAGTGTGAATTGTGAGAAGGATGCAAAGATGCTTCAAGGAGATTTGGAGAGACTGAAGTGATTAGACAAAAAAACTATTGGCAGACAGAACACAATGTGAAGAAGTGTGAGGGTATTCAATTTGCTGGAAAAAGACAACATTTCTTTAGTGGTGAGTGGTTAAACTCAAAGGGGCCTGAATGTCCTTGTTGATGTGTCACAAAGTTAGCAGGCAGGTACAGCAAGCACTAAAGAAGGTAAATGGTATGTTGGCCTTTATCACAAGACAATTTGAGTAAAGGAATGTAGTCTTATTGCAGTTATATAATGGAGCCTTGGTGAGACAATACCCGGAGTATTGTGTGCAGTTTTGGTCTCCTCCCTTACAAAAAAATATACTTACCAAGGAGGGAATGCAACAAAGGTTCACCAAACTAATTCCTGAGCTGCAGAGCCTGTCCTGTGAGGAAAGATTACATAGACTGGGCCTGTATTTTCTGAAGTTTAGAAGAATGAGAGGTGATCTATGCTCCCTGTAGGTTTTCCTGCTGCTCAAATCTCCCTTCCAGAACCAAAAGTCAATGTATTGGCATGTCGACTGCATAGAAACTTTGATTGGCTGGGCAGCTAAGAGGGAATTGGTAGAGGCGATCTATTCAAACATGTGAAATTCTTGCACAGGTCAACAGAGTAAATACAGGAAAGATGTTTTCCCTGGCTTTGGATTGGGAGTGTCTCGAGCCGGGGAACATACTCGTAATAAGGGGCAGACCATTTAGGACCGAGGTGTGGAGGAATTTCTGTAATTCTCTGCCGGAAACTCCTGTGGAGGCTCAGTCACTGAGTACATTCAAGACTGAAATTGATAGGTTTTTCCATAATGAAATATCACAATACGTCACGGGGATAGTGTAGGAAAATGGTGTTAAATCTCCTTATGACAGCATTTTTGACAAACCTTTATGCTGCTAGCACTATGTTCTCCATACCGATTTCCCAGCTTTTGGAAATAAGTCTTTTTTTTTCCCTCTTAAACCTTGATGCTTATGAAATTTTGATTCTGTTTCAGTTAGCACAGGCCTAGTCTTTCAGTTTTCCTGGGCATTTTTCCATGCCACAGATATTGTATTTGTGTTTTACCCTACCTGTATCCTCTAGCATTGCCCAAGTAATATATGATTTGAAATTGTTTCCTAACCCAGAAACATATTCTTGATTTTAATGGGAGCCTGTGTATCCACTCGTTTTCACCCCACTTTGTTCAGAATGTTTCCATTTAAATCTAATATTCATTTTCTTCCTTTCTCCAGAGGATTATACTTCAACTTAGTTCATGTTGAACTTCATTTGGTTTCACAGCTGACATCGTTTGCTGTGTATTCTCTCTCAGTTTGCCATATAGCCCTTTTCTTTTTGTATTGTACTGAGTTTTCTATAATAGATCCTAAACTGGGATTACAGGAGACAAAACAGAAGTTGCTGGAAAAGCTCAGCAGGTCTGGCAGCATCTGTGAAGGAAAAAACAGAGTTAACGTTTTGGGTCCAGC